ACAACCTTCCCCTTCTCCAGCTGCTGTGATGGGAAATGCGCTGGGAGAGGGGAATTTTCTCAAAGGTGTCTGGGGTGGGGGCTCCTTCCATCCTCATGGGGCAGCTCCAGGCAGCCTCGGGGTTCCTGGGGTCCCTGGTGAATCTCCAGCACCTTTGGTCAACACTGATCTAGTTTTGTACATTTGTATCCAGCTGTGAATATTTGTACCTCAAGCTCTGTTGTACAGTTTTAAGCAAAAAGCTACACAGGGAGCTGCGTAGTGACTTTGCACAGCGACCTGGGGAATGCTCTGGGAGCTTTCTTAGCTGTTTTACCTCCTCCAGCATGTTCTCCTCTCTTCTGCCCCACGGGACACCGGTGCGGGGTGCTGGGTGCCCATCCCAGACCATGGTTGTGCTGGTTTCCCGGGCATCCCCTTGCTGGCATGCAGGATGTGGCCACATGGTCCCTGTGCCCCCAGCCCCCCCAATCGTGGGGCTTGGCCAAGGGTCATCTCCTCCTCACCTGTGCATCCAGGCAGGTCCAAGCTCTGGCTGGAGCCTCATCCTGCCCTGGTGCTGGAGCACGGTGGGTTCAGCCAGCCAGACCAGCTGTGCTCCAACAGAGAGGTGTTTTCCCAGTGCCCGAGGTAGGTGCTGGGCCCCCAGTCCCATTCCAGGTGCCTGTGCAGTGTTGCCTCTCCTGACCACTCCCAGTGCCACTCCTGGTGCCAGGGGACGGCTGCTGCCCCTTCCCCTCACAGGCTCAGTGGGCACAGTGGCTCAAGGACAGTGTGGGACACCGAGGGATGTCTGGAGGAGATGCTGAGGCCACATCAGGAGCTGGTGAGGGTCCTGGGGGTGCCCCAGATAATCAGAATCTCCCGAGAGTTCTGGGTGCCTTTTTGGGGTCTCTGTGTGCTACGCTGGGGATTGGTCACCTGGAGCATTTCCCTTCTGTGCCATGGCACAGTGTGACTGTTCCTGTGTCCTCTCCTGAGGAGTACAGAGGGGTTCTCACCCCACCAACCCCCCCAGCCTGGAGCCAGAGGGACAGCTCTGCCTAGGCTGTTTTGGCTCTTCTCACAAACAACTGTGTGCCCTTGTGCCAAGGCCTTGTGCTGGGAGCTGCTGCTCCATCTGGAATAACAACAATCCCGGATGGTTCACAGCCACGGAGTCTCTGCTTCCTGGTGCCCCTCACCATTGGGGCAGGGGGCTGTGGGGGGCCAGAAGGGTCTCCAGTCTCCCCAGGCACCCAGATCTGTCAGTGCTCCACATGCATTTGGCCTGAGCTCTGTGCTGGGAGATCCCAGCAGCAACTCAGGAGGGATTTCAAACTCTCCTGATTTTCCCTCCCGCCGTGTGCAGGCAGGTGGGAGCAGGTGGATGAAGCCCAGAGGCTGCAGCATGACCCAGGAATCACACCTGCAGGAGCACAGCTGCAATGAGGATTTCCTAGTAAACATTTGGGAAGGGATGGAGCAGCTTCTGGCTTCCTCCTCCTCCCTCCAGCTCCTCCATCTAATCGCACGTCGCTGAAGTGAGCACAAGGTGTTTTCTGGCACATGATGGAGAAAGGCAGCCCCAGGGATGGAAAGGAGCATCCCGGGGAGCAGTGGGACCATTCTGGATGGCAGGTAGGGCCCAAATCCTTCCAGGGGTCATGGGGACAGGCGGGAGGAGACAAGGGGCATCCCAGGGCTGGGCTGCCAGCGCAGTGAGCGGGTGACCTCCACCTGGGCCAAGTTTTTGCAACAGTGGGGAGGAAGGTCAGGTTCACTGCAGGAGGGTGCAGGGGCTGACGTCAAAGGAAGCAGCTGGTGATTCACGGGTTCCTGGGAGTGCTGGTCTCCAGGCTGTAACTCATCCCAGAAATGTCATTTCAGCCTTGAGCGTTATCGTTCCTGCGCTGTTGTCCACCACTCCCAGCCCTGGGGCAGATAACCCAGCCTGGGGGGATAGGG